AGAGAGAGAGAGAGAGAGAGAGAGACTGAATGGCAAAATTAAATATGGGTCAAATTGCGGCCGCGATTTCACTAAATCCATAATCCGATATTTGTATTTATCATCTATTTTGCAGTTGAAATGATTTTTTTTAATTTGTTGGCCCGGGCATAGCTGAGTGGCAAAAATGGAAAATGGCCGAATCGGTGCGACGATTATTTCGCAGTGTGAATGATTTTTAAAAAATATTCTATTATTATTTCTGGAAAGAACACGACCTCATCTATGGATTCTCAAAATTTCAGATTTTTATGCATGTTCGTTCGAGCACAGAAAATCGCCAAAGTTGCCTCTTGCAAAACGTCTATTTCGTTGTGCTTGCCCTCCCTGTTTTGAGAAGACAGGGCTCAATGCCTGGATCTGAGGGCGCTTTTGCAGTTCACGTGCCCTCACTTCTTTTTGGGGTCCGCTTGTACCCGGGGTCCGGTCCAACGCCCCCCACTTCTTTTTGGGGTCCACTTCCACCTGAGGACTGGTCCTTCCTTTTTCCAAAAGTCCCGGTTCTAGCATAGCTAGTTGTAGGTAGTCCACAGTTTTGCCAAGAACCGGTCCCCCAAATTTTTTTGCCCCCTAAGAACCCACTTTGCGTCCTGGTCGCCTGCCGCCAAAAATGCGACACCTTGACACAGACGCGGAAGCCCACTATACCGCAGCCTAAGGGTTGCGAACAGCCGTCTCCATGGAAAAAAACTTGGCAAAAAAGCTTCATAGACGAGAAGTGACAATCCAAAGTTTATTAACCTCATAGTGTAAGACAAGATATAACGACCACTCATCTTCAGCAAGTCAGCACATAGTTTTCCTTGGCAAAGGAACAAGACATACGGGAAACCATAATTCCCATGCCCAAGCTCCATCAACGTCCAGGAAAACAATCCGTGCTAATCAAGGAAGCTCACAGCTGTCTCGACGGAAAAAACCTTGGCAGTATCAATGTGTTGTTGAAAAATAAAGCTCCATATCTGAGACCAGCAGCGCCACTCGCGCCCTGATCTTGGTTGCATATAGCGTATAACAGAAGATACGCACCAGCACTCCAAGTCATCCATTTATCACACGCAACACACCACACCCACCGCCAGCAGACACTACTTCTCGGGGCATGCCATACAAGCTCCACATCCACAACACATTAAGTGGTATCTCCCGTATATGAAGTTTTTGTAAAAAAAAAAAAGGACATGGTTGCCGTGGGCCACTAGAGCCGACTAGGTATGGTGGCCTTAGCCTGGGCAAAACCCTAGCTCTAGCGCCAACAACTTTGGGCACTCAGCGCTAGGTCACTTAGCGATGCGCCGCTGCTAGTGCCTCCCCTG